TTTCTCTTACAGCTTGAGCCTAAGTGTGTCGCAGGATACCCTCTAGGTGACAGTTCTTGATTACTTTTTGATAAATAATTCGTTCTTATTGCGAAACAGGAGCACTATTTATCACTCTGTAATAGAAGACGTGAGGAAATTTTTGAGGCGAAATGCCCAAAAAGAAGTTCGTAAAAAATAAAGAAGATTTACTGGTAGTGCGGCTTACCAGTGACTGTCATGAGACCATCGCGCGACCCGCAGACAAACACCAAGCCACCTGGACCCAGAAATCCCAACAAACCACTCCGCGTGTACTCGGCGCTGGCGGATATCGGCGTGCCGTCGCTACCCAGCGGTTGCACCTGCAACACACGCCCACTAAGTGGCACCGCGACGGGGCCTCAGCCAATCAGCTACCTTGAAAGTGGTGTTGCTCAGGCCGGGCAGCCCCCAGTACTGCGTCCCGGTGGCGCCGGAGTGCACGCAAATCTCCCCCACTTCGTCCGTTTTGCACAGATAGGAGGGTCCCTCCATTTTAACCACCACGATCACGCAGCCGGGCATCACTTGTCCACAATCTTGCAGAGTGAGCGACGTCAAGCTGTTCTCCTGATCCACTCTGACCACCCCGAAGCTGAGGCCCTGCATCGAGAGAACCCCGCGGCCGGTCGCGTTCACGCCGCCCCTTCCTGGCCGCCGCACTGAAACCTGCGCAGAGAAAGCTTGCAGTGTTGGCGGCGAAATTGAGGCAGTTCAGGGGGCTTACCGTTACGCATTCGCTGGAACTGGCGCAGGGGCAGATGGCGTCGGGGCGCAGCCCCTTCGGCTGGAACACCGACAGGAACTGATCGCAGCTGCTGAGCGACCAGGGATTTGCGCCATCCGCCACCAGAAGCATGCGCAACGAGCCCAAGTTGATGTCTTTGTGGTCCTTGGTGGCCAGCAGGCCCCAATGGAGGTCGCGCGACTTCACTATTGCGACTGAGGCGCGATATTTCGTGATCATCTGCATCCAGCTGGCCGGATTGGCCTTCATCAGCGCGTAGGGGATGTAGATCACGTGCATGCCGTTGAGCACGCTTGTTAGCACCGAATGCCATAAACCGACCTGCCGGAACATTTGGAGCAAGTCAATCATTAAGTTCAAGCGGGCAGTAAAATACCTCGCGTTTGAAGTCGAGCACGCAAACCATATTCTCTCCCTCGGTGTAGTTGCAGGCCATCGTCAGCATCCGGCAATGCTGATCCATCGCTTCCCTCGTTATGGTCACGCCCATCACTGAGCCATCTCGATCCGTACTGTACTCGATATAAGCGGCCGTAACATCGTTCAATCTGCAATTATTTATTATTATCAATCAAATTGCAATTCAATCGTCATTCATTCAGTTGCTCTCAGTCTCTCGACCATGAACGCTCCGCTGTTTGTTATTTTTTGCTTATTTCAACAACCCCGAGGTTGAAGATTCACTAGTGTGTGTTTGCCCTCCCCCAGAACCACGTGCTTACGCACTGGTAAAAAGAAATTCGAGCTCGTGTCTCCCTCAGAGGCACGTGCAGGCCCCTTTTGGGCTCCGGAAAACCCCGTCAGTGCAGTTTGTGATCGACATTGCCAGAGCTTGAAATTCCAGAAACTTCTTCCGCCAGCGCTACTACTCAAAGCCCAAAAGCGACGTGAGCTATTCAAAATTTGAGTGTTTGGGGGCGGCCGAGAAGGAGTTTTTCTGTTAGTTTGGAAATTGTGGGAAGGAGGCTGATGGGTCTCCAGTTTTGAGGAAAGGTTTAGGATACTACGGAGGCGGTTTTCCAAGGGGTTGGGAATTTCCGTACCCAAACAAACTGCCGAAACCCACACCCCCAACCCACCAAGGCTCTTGCAGGCTTGCAGCAAAGACAAAAAGCCTTGAATGGCTACGTCTGTTAAAAACTCCAAGCCATTCAATCTGCAATTGGATCGCTGAAAAGCTAATCGCCCCAGCGAGATAAATTCGGCTGGTTTACCTGGGCTGTGGTGTCCAGTCTTTAGGAGTCTTCGCTAGGTGTTCGGTAACGAACCAGGTGAGCTTCGGCCATCCTTTGAACTGGATGATTTCGCCTGATGTCGTTTTCGGAAGGCCTTTCAGGCAAGCTTCTGATGTTAAAGCCACCTGCAAAACGCGCTCGCTTCAATATGCCTGGAGGCGGAGCCTCAATGTTTACCTGAACCGCACAGCTGCCCAGCAGGAAGCCGATCTGCAAGGAACCAGCATCCCTGCGTGTGATTGGAACCTCGATAGGGACTGGCACGATCCCGGCCTGGATGCAGCCGTAGTAGGCGCACAAGAAGTTGATGGGATCGTTGTTGGGGTAGACGAGAGCGACTCGATCGCCCGACTTCAAGCTGGTGTCGCCGTTTTTACTGAACGACTTGGTCAGCAGAGCGTAGGCTATTTTGTACGATCGGCTCAGCAGCTTTCCTGCAATTGCAGTGAACCATCACACAAGAGGTTGAGGTTTTTGCCAATGAAAAGCGCAAAAAGTCTTGACAAAGTGGCAAAGTTCGCCTGTTCCATTGCGATTTGTCGACGGTTCCAAGCAGAAATAGTTTAGGTTTTCCAAGTTGCAACTTATTTAGGATTTATCGGACATTTGCTTATTGCTCTAATTTGTCTCTAAGTCTTCCGTTTATAATTTATTCAATTTTTATGTATTGTATGCATTTTATTTGTTTAAACAGAAGTGGTGGTCATTCAAGCCTCAATCTATCCACAACTGAAGCCTCCAAATAGACTGTTTTCATTGTAACAAAAATTCTATGGTAATATATATATGTGAAAGATTAAATAAGTTTATACTATCTATCTATTGCTATTTTGTTAAATCTCTAAAACGCAATCCTGTTGGTTGTGACGTCACTGGTCATATAAATGGCGGATTGTCTACGTTCTGTGCATAGTGTTCAGTTGTGTGGTTGTGTTTCATTAATTATTTTGTGGATTTAAATAAATTATAGTTTGTGTTCAACTAAAAACTGGCTTCAGAAGGATTAATTAAAGCGTCAAAAACCACTTTACCATGTGTACATATTTTTGTGGTTACCGAATTTTTAAAAAACGACGAACGCTTTAATTCAGCCGAATTTAAGGGTGTCAACAGTAAGGGTCACAACACAAAGTACGATCGAAGACATATTCTATCTGCCTCATTATTAGCCTTTTGTTGGTACTTTCATCAAAATGATCCTCGCAAAGAAAAAAACATTTATTTTGATTTAGGAACATCACGTCTAGCTGCTTTGAACTATAAAACTTTACGTGCATAATCATGGGGAACGGTTGGAAAGAGATTGTTCGGAGCACTTATTGAGGCATCCTGGCACAAAACACCACTTATTTTGTGATCCATACATGTCACTATTTTCCATTATGCAAGATAATAATAATCAATAAAATAATGATAATCACAATAACTTAAATAATAAAACTAAGCTGCGAAAACAACAAAATAAACACGAGACACTTTGTTGATATGACCTGCTACGTCACAATCGGGATAGGCAACCGACGATACGCATTCGGCGTTTTTGGCSGAAAATACCTGATTTGAATGTAAATTCGCTTTAAAATGATTATGGAGAATTTTTGAAAAAAAAAAGTTATCMGTGTMATGTTTAAAAAAAGTGAAAACACCCTATTGAGCAACTTAAATTAACACTTTTTACAATCGCGTAATKTGCCCCAAGACTTTTGTCCTAAAAAAGCTCCTCAAGTTTTCCATWGTCGATTGACAGAAATTAGCTCAAGTTAATGGAAAACTTTCAAGGAAACTGTTGGATCTAGAAGTGCCTTCGTGTGTTGTCGGTCTAGCCAAGAAATTCAAGTGCGCTGACGAGCGSTTTTGCATATACGACTGAAAGGAGCCGRTTATTCCAAAAGGTAAACTCCTTACCATACGTTAAGGTGGTGGACAATTTTCCATTAGGGTCCAACACGGTGGCCACGGGGGCTTTATAGCTGGCATTTCCATATCTTAGAATAGCTGCCCCTATGCTCCTGGGTAGGCCTGAGGGGATGGTTAACTGTTCCCCAACAGCAGGCGACATGAAGCTGCCTAAAAGTACAAATGTTTCGTTGTTAAAGTGCTTGATTTGATTGCACCCGAAGACTCATCAATTCTACCTTCGGGCTTTGGAGCGTTGGGGTCTTTGGGGTTGGCGGCCAGCTCCAGCTCGATGTCATCATCTTCGTAGAATTCCGGCAAAGGTCGCCTCTTAGGCCTCTTCAGCGTGTTGAGTAGCTGTTGAATTTTCGCCGACACCTAGCAGAAGAACAGTTTTCATCCCCCCCATTGCCTTTGGCCCACTCAAACAACGCTACCTTCCACCTTCCGGTTCCCGTTCCCATCGTGCCATCTTCAGATGCAGAAGAAGTGTACCGGTTGACTCTATCGGCACCCGTTCGTCGGCCCCCTTGAGCGGTGTTATTGGTGACATCCGGCGGCTGAGAATCTACAAATCAGCACGCATTGAATGGTAGAACAGTCGCAGTTTTCCTGCCCAATTTACATGGTCGAAAGTTCTGCAAAACGTCGCTGATGTCGGTGATCTCCTGCTGATTTCGGCCTCGTTGGTCGTTCCATAGGGGCGGCGGCGCTCTGGGTCTGCGCTGCAGGGGAGGCGGCGATCCTGCGCTCGATGTGTCGCTTGGAGGCGGCGGAGGAAAACCATGGTGGCCTCGATCGCCTCCGCTTCCTCCTCTCATGATTCCTGACGATGCCTTTTCTCGTTCCGGGGTACTTTCCACTGTGGGCCCCTCGTCATTTGCTAGGCTGTCTTCCTCTGATGAAGATTCTGCGGAAAAGAGGAGGGAAGAATGAGGAACAAGATCGAAGACGCAACTTAAGCAACGCTGACATTAAAATAAGTCTACAGAAAAAGGAAACTTTGAAGATTAATAACGATCGCAAGGATGTTCACACAAGGAATGGATGGATGCGTCCAATGAGGACAGTTTTTGAAGATTTTGCCGAAACTCCCGCACAAGAAATCCTGCAATTTGTCCCAGTCGGTTAAAAAAACTCTAAGGAATCTTTTCCAGTTGATGGCATAAACTTTACCAGTAATTTCGATTTATTTTCCTGACTGCGTGTAATGTGAAACGAAAATTTGTATATCGTTTATTTCATAACGTTTCGGCGAGTCAACAGCGCCATCATCAGATTTTAAAATTGCCGCGTTGCTTTCCGAGGCATCAACTTCTGTCTTCAATGTTTCTTCTCTTGTTAATTCTTTCGTATTTTTAATACAAAGTTCGATGTCAATCTCAAAGAGAATGAAAGAGTCAATTGTGGCTTTAGTGTGTTTTTGTCAGTTCTGCTTTCTTATTTGTAGAGATCAATTTCAATGTTAAACAGAGCTAAAGATATTTTTTTCGTCGTTTTTTCTCCTCTTGTTTAGTTTCCTTTATTTTCCATGATTAACTTGTAGGTAATAGAATTTGAGACCCTGTTTACGAAATCGTGTCTTCAGTGTGTGTTTTTGTCAATTTGTCGTTCTCCTTCCCTATTTTTAAAGATAAATTTAAATTTTAAGCTCAAATAAAGTGCAACTTTGCTTTCCAGTATCAAAGTGAGACTCCAATGTTGTTTCCGTCGATTTTCTTCTTGCTCATTCTTTCTTATTTGTCACTCTAGGTAAAGTTCGATGTCAATCACATAGAGAATAAATTGTTTTCTGGGCCTTAATCCGTGCCTTCAGTGTGAGTTTTTTCATCAATTTGTTCGTCTCTTGCTTCTTCCTTATTTTTGAAGATCAATTTAAATTTCTAACAGAAATAAGGTAATTGTTTGCTTTCTTAGACATTAAATTGTGTATTCATTCATGTATTTTTTTCTCCTCTTGCTCATTTGCCCTTATTTTTCATGTCGATGAAGTGATTCTTTGCTTTCTTACGGATTAAATTTTGTTCATTTTTTGTCGTTTTTTCTCATCGTACTCATTTTTCTTTGTCATGATTAACTTCGTATCAATCGCAAATATTGTGTGTTTCTGTCAGTTTGTTCTTTTCTTGCTTCTTCTTCACTATTTTTCAGAAATTGACATTTTGCTTTAAGCTCTTTAAGCTTATTTCGTAGTTTTATCATAGATTCTTTCTCCTTTTGTGCATTATCCCTTATTTTTTCGAACAAACTTTGATGTCAATCACAAATAGAATAAAATTCGCATTTCTGGGCATTAAAATGTGTCTTTAGTGTGAGTTTTCTTCATCATTTTATACTTCTTTTGCTTCCAACCTATTTTTGAAGATCAATTTGAATTTTTCAACAGAAATAAAGTGCTTTTAGGAATTTTAGAAATTAAATTGTGTTGCTTATGTTGATTTTTGTCGTCTTTCCATAATCATTTTCATGATTAACTTCGATATCAATCGCAAAAATTGTGTGTTTTTGTCAATTTATCCTTCTCATGCTTCTTGTTTGAGATTGATATCGAAATTTGTCTGAAAAATAAGGAAGAATCAGCAAGGGGAGGAAAAAGCTTAAAGACAGACTTTAAGTCTGATAAAAGCAAAATGTCACATTATCTTCATTTAAAATTGAAATTGATGATCAAAAATAGGGAAGAACAAGCATGAGAAGGACAAATTGCGGATATGGACAAAAAAACACACAATTTTGACGAAAATTATGAAAAATTTTCGATGCGAAAGACAAATGTAGAAAATAATTCAAACAAATTGAAGGTTTCAAGACAGCAAAGACCTAAATAAATGTAATGTTTACCAATTATGAGTTTGTATGAATTTTAAAATCTGATGTTTCTGTGTTAGATTCACTAGTAATCCCCATAGAGTTTCATGTAAGTTTCACTTGGGCAAGGAACATTTCCAAAAAAGCATGGGGAAACGCGAAAATTGCCTCTAAAGATTTACTCTACTTAAAACACTTTAAGCTAAGCAATGACTTCACTGAATGACTCACACTGGATGGACATGTGGATTTCTTTGTTGTGAGGGTTTTCATCAGGGTTTCCCCATTATCATTGCTATTGTTTTTTTAATTGAGAAAATGACTCCTTTGGTGCATCGATCAACATAAATCCTCCTCGGGTACCACTAGAGCGCACACACAAGCCAGACAATAAGAGCGCATAAATCGATCGAAATCTATTATGAAACAGTTCTTAGATAAAAGTAAGTGGCACACATACGTTACTGGCTGCACTATTCGCGGTTAATCACAGGTTACATAGAGAAATAGGTGTGTAAGGTAAGGCAAGTTCAGCACATAACGAGTACCATGGGTTGACTTGCTGGAACTGGTTCTGAAATCTTTATTGAGAAAGGAGAACAAACAAAAAATCGTAAAAGAAGCGAAAACGAGCGGCGCATGAGGAGGAGCGTCGCACAACTGGTTTGGCTGAAAGTGTTCCTCGAGTCAACTAGCTACTAATTAGTATCGCGCAAAAGAGCCCCTAAATGCGAACATGAAACGCATCCGCAGCACTGGAAAGTGCGGATTTCCCAAGAGGAAGTCCACTTAGACGCAACAAGGCCTAAACTGATAAACTGATGACCTTAAGATTGAATGCGATGAACAGCCGAGTTGATGCAAAACTTCCAAGCATGAATATCCGCAAACAATGATCGCAATTCAACCGGCGAAATGCTCTTCTGCTTATAGTAACTCGCTGTGAAAGGAGAGGTTGACCAGAGGTAATTTGGGTGGCGATGAGTCATAGACACGGATCGACTGTATTCAGAGGATCAGCATGAGGCTGATTTGCATTTGAATATTGGCACCTTCCTTCAACTCTTTAGGCTTTAGGGCTTAAGCTTGAACAAGCAAAACTGGCTCGATTATCCAACGGGTTTCAATCACCAGCAGCTCAAACCGATAGCGAACACGGCTTCTATTAGCGAATCTTATAAAGGCATGGAAGGAGGTCTTCTTTGCCAATTTCCCCACTGGTTTTGGTTTAAATCACTCTTTTCTTCAGTTTTCTTCATTTTTAGCTGTTTTGTCATTGTTGTCGCTTTTCTTTCTCCATAAGCAACATTTGCCATTTGTTTCAATTATTTGCTATATATTCATTGATTTCTCTGGACTTTTCTGTGTTTTCCCTCCTTTTTGACTCGCACGATTTCGCGGATCTCAAGTCTTATCTCTATTTACTCTCTCGTCTATTCTCCTTTGAGCTTTCGTCTTTTCCTTTAAACATAAAAAAAATTCGATTCATTTTTAATCTCGAATTAATTTAATTTCGAATTCTTTCAACATTCAAAGGTTTTGCAGTGCGTTTAAAAATGTACTTATAACGCCTCCTAGGCGAATTTCCTGATTAAAATATGGAAAAAAACGTCTAGTTTTATGAAAACTTACAGCTGGAATTTTCATCCCCATTTTTTCTCCTATTGCTCATTTGTCCTTATCTTTCACGTCAATAAAGTGATTCTTTGCCTCTTGCGGATTAAATTTTGTTTATTTTTTGTCGTTTTTTCTCATCGTACTCATTTTTCTTTATTTGTCATGATTAGCTTCGTTATCAATGGCAAATATTGTGTGTTTTTGTCACTTTGTTCTTCTCTTGCTTCTTCTCACTATTTTTGATAAATTGACATTTTGCTTTTCTAAGAATTAAAGTCTGTCTTTAAGCTTATTTCGTGGTTTTTCAGATATTTTTACTCCTTTTGTTCATTCTTCCTTATTTTTTCGCACAAACTTTAATGTCAATCTCAAATAGAATAAAATTCGCATTTCTGGGCATTAAAACACGTCTTTAGTGTAAGTTTTTTTCATCATTTTATCCTTCTCTGCTTCCAGCCGATTTTTGAAGATCAATTTCAATTTTTTAACAGAAATAAAGTGGTTTTTTGCTGTTTTGCGAATTAAATTGTGTCGCTAATGTTTATTTTTGCCGTTTCTTCTCATCGCACTAATTTTTTAAATTTTTCATAATTTTCAATATCAATTTTCAAAATTGTGTGTTTTTTTGTCCATTTCCGCAATTTGTCCTTCTTATGCTTCTTCTTCCCTGTTTTTGATCATCAATTTCAATTTTAAATGAAGATAATGTGACATTTTGCTTTTATCAGACTTAAAGTCTGTCTTTCAGCTTTTTTTCGTGGTTTTTTCCTCCCCTTGCTGATTCTTCCTTATTTTTCAGACAAACTTCGATGTCGATCTCAAACAAGAAGCATGAGCAGGATAAATTGACAAAAACACACAATTTTTGCGATTGATATCGAAGTTAATCATGAAAATGATCATGGAAAAAACGACAAAAACCAACATAAGCAACACAATTTTATTTCTAAAATTCCAAAAAGCACTTTATTTGTTTGTTGAAGTTTGTCTGAAAAGTAAGGAAGAATCAGCCAGAGGAGGAAAAAACTACGAAAAAAACATTAAAAACAGACTTTAGTTCTGATAAAAGCAAAATGTTACATTACCTCCATTTAAAATTGAAATTGATGATCAAAAATAGGGAAGAAGCGGCATGAGAAGGACAAATTGCAGAAATGGACAAAAAAACACACAATTCTGACGATTGATATCGAAAATTATTAAAAAAATTTAAAATTAGTGCGATGAGAAAAAACGGCAAAAATTAACATTAGCGACACAATTTAATTCCCAAAAAATCACTTTATTAAAAAATTGAAATTGATCTTCAAAAATCAGCTGGAAGCAAGAGAAGGAAGGATAAAATGATGAAAAACCTTATACTAAAGACGCGTTTTAATGCCCAGAAATGCGAATTTTATTCTATTTGTGATTGACATCAAAGTTTGTGCGAAAAAAGAAGAAATAATGAACGAAATGAGAAAAAATCTATGAAAATACTACGAA